CCATAGGGATCAATCCCTTCCTGCACACCCCAAATCTCCCTCCAACCCCACCCCAGGTCCTTCCTGAGGAGCTCAACCCCTTCCTGGGCACCCCAAAGTTCCCCTTTCCTCTTCCTGGGGGTTCAAACCCCTTCCTGGACACCCCAAATCTCCCACCTGCTCCCGGCTTCTTCCTGGGGGGGCTCAGCCTCTTCCTGCACACCCCAAATCTCCCTCCAGCCCCACTCCAGGCCCTTCCTGAGCAGCTCAACCCCTTCCTGGGCACCCCAAAAATCCCCCCACTCAGCCCTGGGCTCTTCCCTGGGCTTCCAACCCCTTCCTGGACACCCCAAAGTTCCCCTTGCCTCTTCCTGGGGTGTCAAAGCTCTTCCTGGACACCCCAAATTTCCCCCTGTCTGGTTCCAGCCTCTTTTGGGGGAGCTCAGCCTCTTTCTGGGCACCCCAAAGTTCCCCTTTCCTCTTCCTGGGGGGGGCAAACCCCTTCCTGGACACCCCAAATCTCCCACCTGCTCCCGGCTTCTTCCTGGGGGGGCTCAGCCTCTTCCTGGACACCCCAAAGTTTCCCTTTCCTCTTCCTGGGGGTTCAAACCTCTCCTGGACACCCCAAATCTCCCTCCAGCCCCACCCTGGGCTCTTCCTGAGCAGCTCAACCCCTTCCTGGGCACCCCAAAACTCCTCCATCCCTCATCCCACGCTTTCCCAAGTGGATCAAACTCTTCCTGGACACCCCAAAGTTCCCCCTGTCTGGCTCCAGCCTCTTTTGGGGGGGCTCAACCTCTTCCTGGGCACCCCAAATCTCGCTCCCACTCAGCCCTGGGCTCTTCCAGGGGTTCCAACCCCTTCCTGGGCACCCCAAAGTTCCCCTTTCCTCTTCCTGGGGGGGTCAAAGCTCTTTCTGGACACCCCAAATCTCCCACTTGGCTCCATCTTCTCCCTTGGGATGTTCAACCTCCTCCTGGGCCCCCCAAATCTCCCACCTGGCCCCGGCTTCTTCCTGGGGGGGCTCAGCCTCTTCCTGGACACCCCAAATCTCCCTCCCAACCCACCTCGGGCTCTTCCTGAGGAGCTCAACCCCTTCCTGGGCACCCCAAAATTCTCCCCACTCAGCCTCAGGCTCTTCCCGGGGGTTCCAAACTCTTCGTGGGCACCCCAAAGCTCCTCCATCCCTCATCCCACACTCTTCCCATGGGGATCAATCCCTTCCTGCACACCCCAAATCTCCCTCCAGCCCCACCCCAGGCCCTTCCTGAGGAGCTCTATCCCTTCCTGCACACCCCAAATCTCCCTCCAACCCCACCCCAGGTCCTCCCTGAGGAGCTCAACCCCTTCCTGGGCACCCCAAAGTTCCCCTTTCCTCTTCCTGGGGGTTCAAACCCCTTCCTGGACACCCCAAATCTCCCACC